ATGGGTTCTTTCCGTCCAATGGCTGCTCTTCTTTCCTTCCTCCTGAAGAGAGAAAGGATAGTCGGTTAACTAAATCACGGGTTGAGCATGAGCCCACAGTGGCCAAAGAAAGCACCATCTAATCACTCCTGACAGATGGCCATCCAGCCCCAGCTTTGTCCTAGGCTTTTCGGGGCTCTTCAACATCTTTATTTATGTATTATTTATTATTTATTATTTTATTTATTTTTTTATTTATTGTTTATTTGTTTATTTATTATTATTTATTAATTATTATTTATTTATTTATTAATAAATAACAGAAAGGAGGAAACCATTAAAACGAACAAAATCTGGCTACCAGTATTTTAAAAAAACACTCTAAAATTAGAACAGCACAACAACAGAGAGGAAACAAACAAGGACATCTAATCACCTCTCAACAAAAGATTGCTCCAGGCACTGCCAGGCTAATCAAGGTGGTCAGTTGAAACATTCACACCTCCCTCCAGCAGACAAGAGTCCTTTGTCCCACCCTGGACATCATTCCACAGATATATAAACCCTTTTTTCCCATAGATGCAGGCGAAATGTCAGGAGACAATGCCTCTAGAACATGGCCATATAGCCCGAAAAAACCTCAACAAAAGATTGCTCCAGGCACTGCCAGGCCATCAAATGCCTAATCAAGGTAGTCAGTTGAAACATTCACCCCTAGCTCCAACAGACAAGAGTCCTTTGTCCCACCCTGGTCATTCCACAGATATATAAACCCTTCCTAGTTCCAACAGACCTCGCTTATTATTTATCTTTGGATGATGAGATCACATTGTACCATCTTCTTCTTGGAGGTTTTAAGCAGAGGTTTGGATGGGCCATCTCTCAGGAGGGCTTTGATTGTGTTCCTGCACGGCGGAAAAGGGTTGGACTAGATGGCCTTTGGGGATCCCTCCCAATGCGAGGATCCTATGCCTTTTTTTTTTGCGCCACATCACATTGTTAGCTCATGTTTAACTTGTTGTCCACGAGGACTCCCAAGATCTTATTCACATGTACTGCTCTCTCAGAAATGTTGGACCACTCCAACAACCACCATGTCAGACTACACAGAGAAGCCACTGAAATCCACAAGCACGTGGACAATTTCAACAGAAAGGAGAAAACCCTGAAAATGAACAAAATCTGGCTACCAGTATTAAAAAACTCTAAAATTAGAACAGCACAACAACAGAGAGGAAACAAACAAGGACATCTAATCACCTCTCAACAAAAGATTGCTCCAGGCACTGCCAGGCCATCAAATGCTAATCAAGGTAGTCAGTTGAAACATTCACACCTAGCTCCAACAGACAAGAGTCCTTTGTCCCACCCTGGTCATTCCACAGATATATAAACCCCTTTTTCCTAGTTCCAACAGACCTCACTACCTCTGAGGATGCTTGCCATGGATGCAGGTGAAACGTCAGGAGAAAATGCCTCTAGAACATGTCCATATAGCCCAAAAAAACCCACAACAACCCAATGTAAGGCTTTTCCAGATCCAAAAACTGAAAGGAAAGCATTTCTCTTTACCTTACCAACAGATAAAGGTTTCTTATCTCTCTTTTCATGAAAATGAACCGATCTTATTTACACCTGAGCACTCTGTTGCTGTTTACAAAAGCCTTGCTTTCTATCTACACTTTTATTAATTTGACTCTCATTAACTTCTGCACCTGAAAATCACCTTCAGACAGTTGCTCTGAGAAAGACTGTGAAGGGCCTCTCCCAGGAATGTGACTTTGTGAATCGTCCAGACAGAGCTCGGGACTCTTGTCTAAGCTTAACTCAGGCCCAGGCAAACCCTCATCCCCATTGCCAACAGACCCAGGCCCACCATCAGGAACATCAGACACAATCACAGGCTGAACAGATTGACATCCTATAGGCGGAGAGGTCAAAGGCGCCCATGAAGACATGCCAGCAATTCGATCAATAAGGTGTCAATGAACCACAGGCTTCCCAGCATGGATAAATGAAACAACAGCACTTCCACATGGTCGGATTTGAGCACAGTCTCCAGATGCCGGAGCTGAAAAAGAGGGAAGCCTTGCTTATTATTATATTTATTTTTATTTCAGGCACTTCTACTCCGCCCTTCTCAACCCCCAGGGGGGGACTCAGGGTGGCTTACAACCGGCATAATTCGATGCCAACAATTCAACAGATAAAATACATAACAGCAATAGCCACAATAGTTAAAAACAATCAATTAATACAATAACAACTAAAAAGCCAATCTAGTGGCCAAATATTCACCAAGTTCTAAAATCCGTAAGTCCATTCAGCATTACCATAGTCCTTTCCAAATTCTGGTCGTCATTACCTTGTCAGTCTGCCAGATTACCCAAAGGCCTGGTCCCACATCCATGTTTTCAGCTTCCTTCTGAAGGAGAGGAGGGATGTTGATGACCTAATTTCCCTGGGGAGTGAATTTCACAGGCGAGGGGCCACCACCGAGAAGGCCCTGTCCCTCGTCCCTACCAGTCTCACTTGTGATAGAGGCAAGGCCAAGAGAAGAGCCTCCCCAGAAGATCTTAAACTCCGAGGTGGGACATAGAAGGAGATACGTTCGGACAGGTATGCTTCTATCTCTGTATTGTCTGTCTTCGTTGTTTATTGTATAACAGCATTGAAAGTTTGGCATATATGTATTCTGTAATCCGCTCTGAGTTCCTGTGCAGGAGACAGAGCAGAATATCAATAAAGTATATTACTTAAGGATTTTCTTGACACAATTTGTTCAGAAGCAATTTGCCATTACCTTCTTCTGAGAACTCACTCAAGACCATGTCTGAATACAGATTTGAACCATGGTCTCCAAAGTCACAGCTTGAGTCAAACTACTCCTGGCTCTTTTGCATCTTATTTTAATGCATGATGCAAGCAACCTTGGGTCTCATATCAGGAGAACGGTTGGATACACTACTCAATCAGTTGACCAAATCAAAGAAACTGGAAGCTGAGATCAAAAATGATTTAACAAACAACTTAGTGGCTTCGAAAGGGTGAAAATTGTAACACTTGTTCCCACCTAGAAATATAACGAGAACCAATGTGATGCAGTGGTTTGGGTGTTGGGCTAGGATCCAGAAGACCTTGCTCAGGCTTGGAAACCCACTGGGTGACCTTGGACAAGTCACACACTCTCAGCCTTAAAAGAAAGCAAAAGAAAACCCTCTCTGAACAAATCTTGCCAAACTCCATAATAAGTTCACCTTGGAGTTGCCGTAAGTTGGGAATGACTTGAAGGAACACGATGACACAAAGATGTTACTGTTCCTTGTGCAATTTCAGTTAAATATTGCCTTGGAAAGGGTCAGGCGCACATGTGGAATCACTTCTTACTGGCAATCTATAATCAACTCTATTTTTAAAACAGGAGCCATAGAAAGGATTGTGAAGGTTAACTGTACAAACTCTCAACAGCTTTTAGTTGTTGTTTTTTAATTGCATTTTCCTCAAAATGATGCAGACACTCTTAAACAGGATTAAAAATTCCAACAACAGAGGAAATGATACAAAATTTTAAGATAAACTTGAAATGGGGTATTTAACTACTTCAGTCACCCTCCTCTGGACACCTTCAGTTGTGTTGCACATAGTTCTGATGACTAGAACTGGACTCATGCATTGTAGAAGGTTTTCATGGCCAGAATCACTGGGTTGTTGTAGGTTTTTTGGGCTGTATGGCCATGTTCTAGAAGTATTCTCTC